ATCTGTGAAGGCTGTCTGACTCCAGTCATGTTTGAGGTACTTTTGAGCATAATCTAGCCTCCTTTTCCTGTGTGGTTTGTTCAGGAAGGTGGAGTGCCTTGCCACACGCCAATTGAGGCCCATTTCCCTTGTCACTTTGTGCACCATGTACTGTGTGAAGTGTACCTCTGATGTGCTGGCCATGTTGGCAATCAACTTGGCATTCATCCCCTGGTGAGTCTTGATGAGGTGGACCAGACGCCTCAAGGCTTGAGGAGTGTGTTTAGGGGGCCTTCCTCTTTGCTCAATTGCATCCTTAGGTCTCTGGGGTCCTTCCTTTGCAATTCTGGCAGCTGTTACATGACTGACCCCATGTTGAGCCCCAACTTGCCTGCTTGACATACCCTCATTCATGAGTGCCCAAATTCTATGCTTCTTCCTGGGAGTTAGATGCTTGAATGGACTCCTGTGATCATTGTCTACACTCTCCTGAAAATTTGACATGATTTGGACCGATATTGACAGAGATATGGCACTTTGATGGTGGTAGTAAGTATCCATGTGAGGAGGCATGCATGCAGCTGTTAACCTTTTTTTGATGTGCGGCTGTATGTCCAGACCTGGTCTGCTGTCGGGTACTTGGAGCAGCTGCAGCGGCTTGCGGCTTGTGTGCAAGTGCACGACGGTCAAGTCGCATTCATACGAGGTAACGAGACGCACGCAGCGCCAAGCTTGTCCGTCTCCGGGCGGAACTCGATACCGGGAGACGGGTAGAGTGGGTCAGCCCGGGTGTGTAGCCATCTCCCGCAGGGGGCCGCAGCCGTTTGGCTGGCTTTATGAGCATGGACGCCTGGTGTCGCATCTCATGACGCTCAACCTCCATCCACGCAAAAACAACATATCGCTCTCCTAAGAACATTATGGCACAAGATCAACAACCTCGCTCATCTCTCTTCTGTGTAGTGGCAGCGCAGTTGTCACTCCGGGCCATGGTGCGTCTGGTGCGCAGGTTTTTGCTCCAATGTAGGTGGCAGGTCAGGAGACGTCAGTCACATTGTCGTAGAGTTCCCTGCGTACCTGTAGTATGCCGGACCGGAGCCGGTTGGAGGAGGCGTCCATACCATCATAGCAAGCTAAGTGTGGTGGTGGACTTGCTCTTTTGCAAACAGTTGACCTCCCAGTGGCAATTGCAGCATGCTCCCACCTTTTTTTTTTTTTTTTTTTTTTTTTTTTAAAAAA